AGGGTTGCGATCCGTTGCCGGACACGGAAAAAAACAAAAAAAAAAAAAAAAAAAAAAAGAATTCTTGCTCAAGGCCACATAGCTCGTAAGTAGAGCCAAAATGCTAATCTAACTCTGGTTTCAGAGTCTACTGAAAACTCCCTCTAGATTTGACGTGGAGGTCACTAGTGATCTTGGCAACAGCAGATTTGGTGAGGGGAGGACCCAAAGTCAAATTGGAGTAGTTGAAGAGTAAGAATTGAGGATACTCATCCTGTTTCTCTCTGTCCCAGCCAAAGTTCTAGAAAGAGCATAATGCCTGATAAATAGTAAGTACTCAGCAAAATGTTAGCTATATTGTTATTAACCTGTCAGTAACATTTGACACAGTTCATTCATCCATTCTACAAATATTTAATGAATTCCTACTGTGTTGCCAGGCACTACTGTAGGTGTTAGAGATATGGCAGTGTGTAAATGAATGAAATGTGTGCTTTTATGAGGATATACTTACAGTCTCCCTTGTCAGCTTCTCTTTTCTCTTACCACTAAATGTAGGGTTTGTTTAGATTATGTCCCAGATCATTTTGTTTCTTCCTGGGTTGTCTTACCCACTCCCATGATGTCAGTTACCATTCTAGAGCCGAACATTTCTGAAGCCTAGAACTTACGTCTTCACTTAGTGCAAAAGCTTTCAGGCTCATTTTTCCTGTTCTGAATATCTTTTGCCACATAATAAACCACTCTAAGACACAGTGTCTTAAGCAATAGTCATTTATTTTGCTTATGAATCTGCAATTTGGGCAGAGCTTGGGAGGAATGACTCTTCTGTGCTTCACACAGCATCAGCTGGAATGGCTTGACTGGGGCAGGAAAAGTCACTTTCAAGATGGCATACTTCCATGGTGCCAAGCTGGTACTGCACGTAGGCTGAGATCTCAGCTGGGGCTGTGGTCTGGGGAGCCTCAGTTTCTCTCCATTGACATTGTTCAGATTTCATCAAGCATGGAAGACAACTTATGTGGCAGCTCAGAGATCCAAGTCATTGGCCTTTTACTATCTAGCCTTGGAAGTCATAGCATCACTTCCATGATAATCATAAGCCTACCCAGATTCAAGAAAAGAAAACATGTATTTTACTTTTCAGAGGGAGATTGTCAGAGTGACACTGTGAAAAGAGCATATGAGATGGAAGATACTGCAGCTGTCTTTGGAAATATAATCTGCCACACTGTCCAAAGTTGAATTTAATCTTCCCATGCCTACCTGTTCCCCAATGTTCATCACAGCACTCTTTACAATAGCTAAGAGTTGGAACCAGCCCAAATGTCCATCATCTGATGAGTGGATACAGAAAATGTGGTATATCTACACAATGGAATACTACTCTGCTATAAAAAAGAATGAAATACTGCTATTTGCCAACAGCATGGATGGACCTAGAGAAAATTATATCAAGTGAAACAAGTCAGGCACAGAAAGAGAAATATCACATGTTCTCACTTATTTGTGGGAGCTAAAAATAAATAAATATACAAACAATGGGGGGCGGGGAGGGAAGAAGACACAGCAATTAGAATTCTTGAAGTTGATATGACAAGCGAACAGAAAGGAGTTTGTTGGGAGGGAGGGGAGAAGGAGGAGGGAGGGAGGTTGCAGTAATTGGCCACAATAATCAACCACATTTGTATATTGACAAAATAAAATAAAGTTAGCAACAAAAAAAATCTTCCCATACCTGCTTTTTCTCCAGTGCTCCTGAGTCAGAATTGGGCTGCACCATCTTCATGGCTGCTCATGTCAGAAACCCATGAGCCATATTTGATGCCTCTTTTTTCTTTTCATTTCTTAGCAACCTGTCCACTACCTGTACAGTCAGTCACTGGGCTTATTGTTCTCAAATCCTGCAGTCTTCTCTATTGCCACTACCAGGACCCTAGTTTAGGCCATCATTATCTCCCTCCTCAGTTTTATCATGATAATCTTTCAAATGGTTTTCCTACTAGCAGTTTTTCACCTTCCAATCTATTTTTCGTCCTGCTTCCTATGTATTCTTTAAAGATACAGATTTATTTATGATATACTTCTGCTTAAAACCCAATAAAATCTTTCAGTACTCTAGGGCTAAAGACCAAAGTTCTTTCTCTGGCCTAAAAGGCTTTGCATTTCTGGCTCCTGCCTACTTCAGATTCAACACAGATCTTCTAGCTCCTTCTTTCGTCTGCTACGCTGGCCTTCTTTCAGTTCCACCAAAGCTGTGTTTTCTTTCCTGCCTCAGGTTTCTCACTTTCATACTTGCTATTTTTTCTGTCTGCCACACTGTACTCATTATTCATGTTTGTTTGGGGTCGACCCCGTGGCGTACTTGGGAGAGTGCGGCCCTGGGAGCACAGTGATGCTCCCATCGCGGGTTCAGATCCTATATAGGAATGGCCGGTGCGCTCACTGGCTGAGCGCAGTGCGGGCGACACCAAGCCAAGGGTTGCGATCCCCTTACTGGTCATGGAAAAAGACAAAAAAAAAAAAAAAATTCATGTTTGTTTGAATGTAATTTCCTTAAGGAAGCCTGGGTTAGAACCTCCTGTTAAACAGTTTAGTGGCATCTGCACGTTTTCTTTATGCTCATCTTACACTTATAATTGCTTGTACTATCTTTGGATTTCTTCCTACTAGACTCTAAGAAGTTCCACGAGGGTGAACAGTTGGTCTTGAATCTCAAAATCGTATCCAGTGCCTGACACATAGTAAGCGCTCAACACATGCTTATAAATGAGTAGGCAAATGTATAAAAATATTACAATATATATGCACACACACATATATATGCACATTGATTTGTGAGTGTATGTATACAGAAGTTTTTTAAAAAAATGTTTTACACTTGAGTATAATTTATCAGTGGTATATTTAGTAATTATATTTTGAAATTACTAGTATTTGTATTGGTGAGTATATATATGTATTTATCATGAATTCTATTTTATTATTTTGTTTAAAATGTACCACATCAGATACTGATCTGGTTCGGAGTTGTTGTGTCCCCTCTTTTATACCTTGTCCTCTGACCAGGTACTGTTAATCACTCTTATTCAAGGTAAAGAAACTGCTGCAATGAAAGCTGATCTCCTGAGGGCCAGGAATATGAAAAGGTACATTAACCAACTGACTGTGGCCAAGAAGCAGTGTGAGAAGAGAATCAGAATCCTGGGAGGTCCTGCCTATGACCAGCAAGATGAGGGAGCCACAGATGAGGGGGAAGGGCCTCAAAGCCAGAAGGTAGAATTTTTTAGTTTCTTGTTTTGACTATATCAAGTTTATTATAAACACCGATGTAACCACATACACAGTCTTTTAACTTTTTAGTATTTAACTTATGACACATGTTCCATAACTACAGACTCACATTTTTGCTATGTTACTTGGTGTCTGTGACTTCTGTGAATGGCAATAGGTTTGATAAGTAGGCATGGGGTGTGTGTATGCCTGCTTGTGTACATGTGTGTGTGTATTTTTCCATTGTCTTCGTCATCTCCCAGTCCCAGTGGAGCATATTTATATTTGCAAGGGCTCAATCAAGTCACCCATTATCAACTGGATAGAAATAACTATCAAGTATAAGGCATTTTTATAAGATATTTTACTTGACTCTTGCCACAATGCTATGAAATATCTACTTGATATTTTCACTTCTCAGGTGATGAAATGGTGGATTTAAGTAACTTGCCTAAGGCTACATAGATAGTACGAGGCACAACTAGGTAAAAAATCAGATCTGTTTGATTCACGGGTCTGAGTGCTTTCTCACTAATCTATAATATATCAACAGCTGTTTTTGTACAACAGAACTTTGGAATGTCTGCTGAAACCAAGTCCTTTTATCACAGAGCTTAGCCTTAGTTTAGTACCTGTCCTAATTCTCAAGGACCAGGCTTGTCTTCCCAGACGTTGAGTGTCCTAGGATTGAAGGAAACAGCCACAGTATTCCATAAGGAGCTTGGCTATACCAGCTGGGAACAGGAGTTCAAGCAAACACCAAACTCCTCTGTTGTTAGTGTCATTCAGCCACAGAGAAGCCAACACCAGTATAATTTAACCCTGGCTACAGCCTCTTATCTCACCTTTTCTGATTTTTAGTTTCTTGATCTTTTCCTATTCAGCTCTATGTTTGAGTTTAGATGCTTACCTGTGACTTTCCCCTGCCTCCCTATCCCAATGATGAGCTTTTACTTTTTCACTTATTCCTGGCCTGGTTTCCATTACAACCTCTTCAGGAAGGTTTTTGCCCAAAAAATCTTTGAACCAATCTTTGAACTGATCCCAGCATAGGCCAGAGTTCTGCAGCATCTTCACAAGCGGCATAAAAGCAGCTCTAAGGAACTCTTGTTTTATAGAAGAGTCCCCTAACCAATGGAGGTCTGTTTATTTTGCCATTAGCAAATGCACCTTTCTGAGATTTGGCTTTGTGGTCTACAGTGAAAACTTATCCTTTTGGTGAACCTTAGAGAGTAGATTGGGCAGGTTGAATATTGCTGCTCTGTCTCCTTTTCCTCAGTTTTTGGCCTCTTAAATAAATTTCTGGCCAAATTTATCATAGATGAGGTCTTATGTCTTGTTTATTCATTCACTTATTCATTTATTCAACTGACATTTACTGAGGGCCCACAGTCTCTTAGTTATATTGCTAGGTACTAGGATACAAAATTAATAAGATAGAATCTCTGCTCATGAAGAGTTCCACAAAATTGTAAAATAAAAAGGCAAATGATCCAATAGAAATATGAAACATATACCTAGGAGAGATACCTAATGGCTTGCTACCTAGTCAAAAGATGATATGCTTTAAGATATCATAGCACAGAAAAACTTTGAGAAAGATAAAGGAAGCTCCTTTTAGGAGTATTGAATGTGTTTTCAGTACAGGTTATCTGGCAGTGTTTACCAGAAGTAGACTTAATCCATTGCTAGCTCCATTTTTGATTTACTCTTCCAAGATATTCAGGAAAAGAGAAACCTATTTCTGTTGGCAACAGTTTATTTATCAGAGTAAAATCTTTTTTTTTTTAAGTCTTCAGGCAGGAAGACTCAGATATTATATAATTCCAATATTTATTGTGGTCTGCTCTTCTAACAGTAAGACTTTGGTTAGTTTGGGGCTGTTCTGATATCTCGTAAGAGTATAGAGCACTTTTGCTGTGACCTAATCATATCTGATCCAGAGGAATTACCATTAACTTTATTTCAGGACTTAGACTTCCAACACCAAGGTCAAGGGTTTAGATCCCCGTACCTTCCAGCCACCAAAATAAAGAATTTAGACTCTTAAATTAGCTGAATCTTCCAGTTAAAAGAAAGATTGTCAGAGTGAATTTTTTAAAAGGCAAGGCTTAATTATATGCTGTTTACAAGAAACTAAATATAAAGGCACAGATAACTTGAAAGGAAAAAGGAAAAAGACATGCCAAGTAAACACTGAGCGTAAGAAATCTAGAGTAGCTGATATTAATGTCAGACAAAGTAGACTTCAGAACAAGAAATATAACAAGAAATTAACAACGTTTCATTATGATAAAGAGGTCAATTCATCAAGAAGACATAATAATACTAAATATGTATGCTCATTAAGAAACCTTTAAAATACATGAAGCAAAAACTGACAGAAGTGAAAGAAGAAAAAAAATCTATATACTTGGAGATGTTAACCCCCTTCTCTCAGTAATTGATAGAACAGGTAAACAAAATTGGTAAGGATTCAGAAGACTTGAACAACTCTAATAACCAGCTGAAATTAGTGGACATTTATAGAACATTCGACCTAACAAGAAAATATATGTTTTTCTCAACTATATATTGACATTTACCAAGGAAAACTATATTGCTCAGTGATAAAACAAGTCCTAACAAATTTAAAAGGATTAAAGTTATATAGAGTTTGTTCTCTGACCACAATAGAATTAAAATGGAAATCAATAATAGAAATAGATTTGAAAAATTCTCAGATATTTGGAAATGTAAACAACCTATCTAAATAAGGCCTTAGTCAAAGAAGAAATCATAAGAGAAAATAGCAACTAATGTGAATGAAATGAAAATGAAAGTACATTATATCAGTATTTGTGAGATGTAGTTAAAGCAGTAGAATACTTTTTAATGCTTATTTAGAAAAGAAGAAAAGTCTGAAATCAGTGGTCTAAGCTTCCACCTTAAGAAGCTACAAATTAAAACTAAAGTAACTACGAGGAAGGAAAGAGAGAAGATACAAATTACCAATGTTAGGAATGAGAGACAGACATCACTATAGATTGTACATACCTTAAAAGGATAACAAAGGAATATTTATGAACAACTTTAAGCCAATAAATTTGACAATTTAATCGAAAGAGACTAATTCCTTCAAAGACATCAAGTACCAAAACTGATTCAAAAAGAAATAGAAAATCTAAATAGCCCTAGATGTATTAAAGAAAATGAACATATAATTTAAAACCTTTCCACAAAGAAAACAAATTCCTTCAAAGACATCAAGTACCAAAACTGATTCAAAAAGAAATAGAAAATCTGAATAGCCCTAGATGTATTAAAGAAAATGAACATATAATTTAAAACCTTTCCACAAAGAAAACTGGTGAATTCTGTTAAACATTTAAGGAAGAGATAATACCAATCTTAACAAAACTCTTTCAAAAAATGGAGAAGGGAACTCTTCAACTCAACATAGGTCACCAGCATAACTTTGATACTAAACCAGGGAAAAATATTATAAGAAAAGAGAACTATAGACCAATATCCCTCATGACTCTAGATAGAAAAGTCCTTAACAATATATCAGCAAATTAAATTCAGCAACCTATAAATAGAAAAATAACTTCAATATATATTTTCCTTACTGTGGGTTCTTAACATAAACATTGTGTACTTCATTTATTTGCAGTGCTGTTTTCAAGGCTTGATGGAATATTTATTTTTTGAACAGCTTTATTAAGGTATAATGACACACAATACATATTTAAAGTATGCAGTGCAAGTTTTGCCATGTGTATATACTCATGAAACCATCACTGCAATCAAGATAGTAAATATATCCAACACCCGCAAAAGTTTCCTCATGCTCTGTAGTTTCTCTTTATACCCCAGTTGAAATCCACTGCTCATCCTTTCATCTATGTTCACTCAAATGGAAAGTGACCTCTTAACTATTCTGATTTTTGGCATCTGCCAGTGCCTTCTCTATCTTAGCCAAAATCCTGTTTCAGTTTCTTTATATTTGTTTTTATTGTTGTCTGTTGTGATTTACATCAGCTATCATAAGTCTACAACAATCTGTAAAGTAGGTGGCATTATCCCCATTTTATGGGTGAAGAAACTGAGGCTCAGACTGATGGAGTAACATGGAGCTCACAGGACTGGAAGGTAGCAGAGTCAGTATTCAAACCTAGGTATGTCTAGCTCCAAAGCCTGATCAATTTTAACTTCACGGTATTACCTTCTGTCTTGCTTTCATCCCAACATGAAAACAAAACATTTATACTGTTTTATTTTTTGCAAGGTAGCAATTCCCAAATAGCACAAAAATGGAAAGATGGAAGGAAGAATTTAAGAAAAAATAAAGGAGGGTCCTAAGGCAGGAGCTGAGTGCCAGCCCCCTGTGTCTAGATACAGGCAAGAAACAGTGTACACCAGGGGTCCTTAGGCAGGAGCCAAGGACACCATCCCCAGGAGCACACTGAAAACAGCACTTCCATATGGGGTGGCTCACTATAGCCCACCACCACAGCCACGGCTGCTGCAAAAGCAGCAGATGCCACAGCAGTAGCCACAACTACCATGGAGGCGGCCCACCAGACACTCATGTACATTGACACAAGGAGAGTCACCAGTGGAGTCCAGAAAAAAAAAGAGGACGTCTGTCTCCTCAAAGCCCACTTCAAAGTAATAGAAGAAACAATTGCTCTACCAGCTGGCCAGACATAAAGGTAGAGATACTAGAAATACGAAAACTCAAGAAAATATGACACCACCAAAAGAATATAGTAATTTTCAAATACCAGACCCTATAGAGCAGTGACTTGAAGTGACTGAAAAGGAATTCCAAGCAACAATCTTTTTTTTTTTTTCTTTTTTGTCTTTTTTCGTGACTGGCAACGGATCGCAACCCTCAGTGTCGCGCCCGTACTGGACCGGGACCGGCTACGGGATCGCAACCCTCGGTGTTGCTCCCGCACCTCGCTCAGCCAGTGAGCGGCTGGTCTGTATGTGGGATCCGAACCCTCAGCGGGAGCGCCGCTGCGCTTCCCAAGCAGCGCACTGTAGCAGTGCGCCACCGGGCCAGCCCCCAAGCAACAATCTTAAGGAAACTGACTAAGATAGGAGAAGACTCAGATAACACAATGAAACAAACAAAAAAATCTGGGATATGAAGGAAGAAATTTACAAAGAGATTAATACCTTAAAAAATAATATAGCATTTTAATATAGGTGTTTATAAGTATAAATTTTCCTCTAAGCACTGCAAAAAACATCTGGGATATGAAGGAAGAAATTTACAAAGAGATTAATACCTTAAAAAAGAATATAGCATTTTAATATAGGTGTTTATAAGTATAAATTTTCCTCTAAGCACTGCAAAAAACCAACAAAAAACCTAGATAGTAGTTACTGTAACAGTTCAGTTGTTACAGGACTGGAAAGAGGATTCTTATTTGCTTGCTCCCGAGAAAATGCTATAGGTTCAATTGTTCATTGACTTCAAAGGCTGCCCAGTTTTCTTGTACCAAAATTTAGTTTTTCAGAACATGAATTGATAACAAAGATGTTGAACATAGGAGAATTTAGGCAATTGTGTTCATCATTGCATTCATAAGAATTAACTGCATGGCAATTAATAAACACGGTTTACATGGGCTTTTTTTTGTATGTGTGTGCTCTTAAGAAAAGTCTGCCACTAAAAAAAAATTTTTAATTAGCTAGTCAATTTCTTTTCTTTTTGTTTGAAATTATAAAACAGTAGGTTGTAATTGATAGCTTAAATTAGCTCTATGTATGTACAAAGAAAGAAATTGTAAAAGATTATTAGCATATAAAAAACAAAAGAAAAAATAAAGGGAGAAAAGGAAATGAATATATATGGGGCTTGGAAATCTAAGAATAAATTTCTGGCCTTTTCTTTAAGGCCAATTTGCATATCTATTTATTTGATCCAGGGCCAATCCATAATGAACAATATTGAGTGTAGCCTAGGACTCTGTACTTGGGTTTGAAGGTTCCCTGATTCTTTCTGTTGCTGCTGGAGTTGTTGACCTGTCTTCTCTAGACAAAGTTGATATCGGTTCCAGTTCAGTTAAGCCTCTTTGGAGGCTTATGATTAATCATATGTGCATATGATTAAGATTTGTACTTCAAGATGCTTCTCTAGTAAGGTTTATACAATGTAAAGACAGATGTTATAATGTTCCACAGTTAGTAAACTAACTGAATACTAATGGTCTGAAATATTTGTGGAAACTAATTTTTAATGGTCTGTAGCAAGAGATGGTCATTTCCTTTAATTAGTTAAGAGAAGTTGTTAGAAAATGCCTTCCCCTTTCTGCCAGTAAAACATATTAGTGAGGGTTTATTGTCTGTGGTAGAGGAGTTGAGTGTCTGTTGATCATACGCACTTGATTTTAGGAATATCTTACTGGTATTACTTCTGAAAATTTGCTAACTGCCATAATACTAATTTTAAGAAAATCAAGATATAAGTTTTTATTTAATTATATTGAGTCCAACTTATTAAATATACTTTTTTATTACTCACTGGAACTAAGGATACGGGCCTTAAATTCCTTCTAAATTAATGTGAGGCATTTCTCCTGATTAATTGAGTCATGCATTATTATGAAGTTCATCTGCTTTCTCACATTACAGCAGTTTGTGCTCAAGATTGTTTCTACTATGTCTTCAGAGGGGTTGCTTTGGCTTTTTCTGTGAGCATGCAAAATAGTAAGCAAAGGAGTAGATGAATTGATTTTGGTACATACCATACAATGGAATATTATGGACCAATTAAAATGATGCTTACAAAAGGTTTTTTAATGAATGTGATATTGTAAAGGCAAGATATGAAATCATTTGTAGATTCCACATATATATAAAAATAAGATGGAAAGCAAAAATGCCAAGCTGTTAGACTCCAGCTTCCTGGTCTTTTATACATTTCTCTTCAATTTTATTATTGACACCTATTGCTTTTAGCATAGAATGTACATCCCATAGAGCAGTGATTTTTATCTGTTGCATTCCCTAGAACTGTGCCTGGTACCATGTAGAATGCTGAATAAGTCTTTGTTGAATGAGTGAATGATTAATAGAAAACTGGTATTTTTTAATATGTGCATTTTGAATATTCAGTAAGCTTTATTTCATTTTAAATTTAGGAAGGTGATAGCAGAGATATTTCAATTTACCAGGGTTGCTATATTACATTGGCTTTGAAAAATGCATTTTTTCCCTGAATGTAGAAATTAATTCATTGGAAATTAAAGCAAACTGATATTTAAAATTTGATTTTAAAAAAACTTTTCTTAAATTCCCTTAATAGATTCTTCAGTTTGAAGATATCTTGGCCAATACTTTCTACCGAGACCACTTTCGAATGTACATGGAAAGGATGGACAAGAGAGCTCTGATTAGTTTTTGGGAGTCTGTGGAATATTTGAAGAATGCCAACAAGGTAGTGTTTATAGGCCCAAATGAATACTAATCACCACCTGATGAAAGCATGCATGTTAGGCAGTGTCCGTTTTTCTCAATGAAGCTGTAAGATAAGTATGCATTAAAGGAATATTTGAACCAGATAACAATAGTGGCATTATGTTCTAGCTGTAGTGGCAAATAAAATTACATCGTATTTTTACAGAAGATTCTTTGGAATGTATAGTCAAGGGGGAAAAAAAAGATTTATAAATGTATCAAGAGATTAAATTCAGTTTCAGGTAGTTATTTTTTAACACATTATAAAAAGGCATGTAAATATCCACATTGCTATTATAACTAAGTTGGTCTTGTCACCTACACCTCAGTCTCATAATCTTGCCATTTGTAATATCATAGTGTGCATTTTTTGCATAACTCCTCTCCTGTTTCTTTTAAAATATGATTGAGTAAAGGAACATAAAAAACATTTTGGTTACACATGCTGCCTCTTACAACAAAGAACCTAACAATAAAGATTGCACTTCTCATTTGGCAAATTCTCAATATATATTTAAGAATTAAAGAATGTGTATAGGGCCGGCCTGGTGGCGCACTGGGTACAGTGCGGCGCTTGGGAGCACGGCGGCGCTCCTGCTGAGGGTTCGGATCCCATATAGAGACTAGTCCGCTCACTGGTTGAGCGTGGTGCGGGTGCGACACCGAGGGTTGCGATCCCGTTGCCGGTCGCGGTACGGGCGCGACACCGAGGGTTGCAATCCCATTACCGGTCACGAAAAAAGACAAAAAGGAAAAAAAAAAAAAAAAGAATGTGTATAATTCTTTGTGTATATATATGTATGTATATGTCTATAAACATACATAACAATGTGTAACATACATATATGACATATGTATTACATCAGTGTGTAACATTTTGAAAGGTTTATTAAACAAAGAATTTTGTACATGAATTACTCATTTGCATATGAATGTTGCTAGAGCAGAATACCAATTTAAAATACATTATATGTCACAATCTACATTGTTTAAAGAATTAAACTCAGTCTTGTAGTATTTTTAAATCCTCTTCTTAGGAATGCCTTTCATTGCTAATTTACAAGCCACAAATTACCTCATTTTATCCAATATTGTATTTGCCAACTTTATTACTTATTTTAATCAACAGGCTTGACTCCAAATGACTTTTGGCTGCTCCCAAAAGAATATTGTAAAGAGCAATCTAAAGTACTGAAGACAATCTGAAAAATTTCAATGGAATAAGAGCATATAACTTCCTCAAAATAGCCATATTTTGACCTAGCAACACTGCTTTGGATGTAAAAGTTCTGGGTTGTTTGTTAAATTAGTCATATTCATTAAGTTGTATGTCTTTGTTTTTATAATACTGTTGAAAACTTTGTATAACATTTTTAGAGTTAATGAAATGCCTCTAGAGGAAATATAAAGATTATATTAATCAGGAGAGATGCTTGTATTTCTGAAGTAGGCTGATGATGACCCAAGTGTACTGCTTAAGGCTAAGCTGTCCAATATAAGTTTGATTACAATGTAATCATTCTCAAGAATGTTTTTCTTGTTTTTGAAAATTAAACAATTATTACAATGACTTCTTGGGTGAGAAATGGCACTTCCAGTTATATTTATTAGATAAAAAGTCAAATTGATTTTAGCTTATAAATTGTATCCCTGTGGAATTGAGATTTATGAAAAGGAATCTAGTGCAGGAAGAGAACTGTTCTCATTTTTTTTTTCCCCCAGTGTTTAAAAGAATTACAGATATTAACTGTTTTACATAAAGTGTTTGTTTTAAGGAACCATTTGTTGTTTCAGGGTCTGACCTTTACCCCTTGTCCCTGAATGTAGAAACAAAAGCCTAAGCCCCACCAGTACCAGTACCAGGGTACATCCTAAGTATCTTCCTTCCAGCTTTAAATTGTAGGAAATTCAGAGGAAAAAATTTCTCCCAGAGATAATATTACTTACCTTTCTTTTTTGTCATCTCTCTGTCTTTTCAGAATGAAATTCCACAATTAGTTGGTGAAATTTATCAGAATTTCTTTGTAGAGAGCAAAGAAATAGCTGTGGAAAAATCACTGTACAAAGAAATCCAGCAATGCCTTGTAGGAAATAAAGGTACTGAGGTGTTCTACAAAATCCAAGGAGAAGTTTATGAGACCCTAAAGGACAGGTATTACCCTTCATTTATTGTCAGTGACCTGTATGAGAAATTGATGATAAAAGAGGAAGAAAAACATGTCTCACAGTTGATTTCCAACAAGGATGAAATGGTGAGTCACATTTAACTTTCTGCTGTCTTTTCAGTGGATAAGCTTTAAATGTGATTAGGTGGGCACGTATTGTATGAGACAAATTTGATTCATACCTTCATCTTTTAACACACAGGATTTTAAGGAGAATAAAAAGAAAACTTGAATTACCTTGTTATTTCTGGTCTTATGCACTTCTTTCTTCCCTTTTTTGTTTTTCTGACTAACTTGCAACCACCTGCTAGCATTGAATCAGAGACCTCCCTGCCATCTGTCTGCCTCTGTCCTTCCTCCATCACCTGCATCGCCCTGTTTGACTCTTGAAAAGTGAGGGCAGAAAATCTGTGACATATGACATTTGGGGCTTAGGACAGCCAAGAGAATCAGTAGGACTATAGTCGAGCACCAGAACAGAGAAGGGATGGGGAAAAAATGAGGATAGGAAGGGAATATGGGAGGAACTATGGGAAATATTTTGGAGTTTAAACAAATCAGATGAATTTAAAATGCTCCAAATGAAGCGTAGCTAAGCCATTCTTTAAGTCTAATTTTCTTATAATGTACTGGATAATTTTGGATAGCTCTAGTTGCCATCTCTCGTTTACTATTAGGGCCTTATATGAGTTTTAAGATCTGTATGAAGAAAGACAAAGTGTTTTATAGTCATCTTACACAGAAGGATTATAATTTATCTTGGATTTTTTCTTTCTGCCCAGTTCACTGTCTCTCTAGCCCTGAGGAATCAAATGCTTGCTTTTGACGCTATGAGAAGTCAGCTTGAGGCCTCTGAACTGTTGTTAAATCGTATAATCTTCATTTAGATTTTTTTTTTAGTTTTGTTACTTCATTTTTATACATAAAATTACTGAGCTCATTGGTCCATAACTATTACTCATTTCTCTTTATTTTTGATAGGTCACAGTTTGTTTTAACTATGTTATCTTTCTACTTCAAAAATTAAAGTAGTTAATATTACAACAAATGCTGTAAAAGAGATTACTTAAATCAAAACATCAATACCCAACAAATAAATTGAATAAAGACTTGAATTGACAGTTGATGTGAGAGGTAACAGGAAACAAACATGAAGAAATGTCTACCTTCACTTCGGATTCAAAGAAGGCTAACATACATTACTGACCTTTTTGAGCTCCCACTCTTTGTTTCAGTAATCCCTAGAAATGGGAACTTCTGGAAATTTATCCTAAGAACAGAATTAAAATGTAGAAAAAAAGTTTATGCATGACGGAGTTTGTTTTAGTACATCTGGGATAGGAAAAAAGGAGAATCAACCCATAGGAGGAGCAGCAATAGGAATATGCCTCACTAAGTTATCAGTGCAATAGAATACAATGCAGCCATAAAAATTTTAATTTGAAGACTATACTACCCTAAAAATAGGCAGCATTATATGTTACATGGAAAAGGCAGAATATCCACTTGAATGAGTACAAAGTGTAGAATTATGTTATAAAATGTGTAATTATAGATGAGTGGAAAGAACATACAACAATGAAAACAGCTTGTTTTTCTATTACTATCAATACTTTATTTTCCTTTGAAAAAAGTTTAATTTACTATTTGTTATAATTAATAAAAATTAGAAGAAAAAATCTTGAAGAAAGTTAAGGAATAAACAAACCAAAAGATAGTTCTCAGCAGTTCTTCTCAGTGCCCTGCATGCCATTGCTGCGCATGAATCTAATTAGTATGCTGTCTGATGATCCATGCAGATTTTTCCAAGTGACATGGTTCTTTATGAATCTTAAGTCATTTTCAAATGCTAACTATTTTACTTGTACAATAATCTACCTACTGATTTGTAAAATACATCTTCAAGAGAAGGACTGAACAAAATATATACTGAACATTCTTTTACTAGTGGAAATTTGGAAATTTTATTTTAAAGGGACTTGCATGAGTTTTTCATTATATTCTTAGAAGACCGGAAAGAAGCCAAATCTCAGTGTCTTTGTTAAAAATTAAGTAAAGAATATTCAGGTTTATTTGGGAAGATAATTCAGATGCTTTTCCTTGTTCCATGCAGATTCCCTTGGATGTGCCATTTAGGAAATAATGGCATGGAATTTCCCCCCCTTCTTCAGGTGGTTGTTTGTTTTTCCACTACAATTGTAAATACCAGTTATTTTGGTTCCAAATACTTTTGATTTTTCTCTTTGCTGATAAAAAAGCAGTGTGTTTCTAAGCTTTCTACTATAGTATTCTTTCCTTACTGGAATCTAGCACTTTGGAATAGTGTAATGATGTAGAATCTATATAATAGATAATAATTACCGAATTTTCTATCATTTTAAGATATGGTGGTATGAACTTTTTCCCCTAGAGCCCAGGAGGTGAGACTGGTGAGGAAGCTGCAGATGGAAGTACCAGCCGGATTAACGAACAAGCCAGTTTTGCCGTAAACAAACTTCGAGAACTAAATGAGAAACTTGAGTATAAAAGGCAAGCTCTAAATTCTATTCAAAATGCACCAAAACCTGACAAGAAGGTAACTCTTTCACTTTCAAGGTTGTTTTTGAAAGTTTCTATTTGTTTAATTTAATAAAGAGGAGGTTTGGATTTATGTTGAGAAGTGTCAGTTTCTTTAAAAAGAATTTTTAACTGTGAGCAAGTTCCTTTGTTACTTTTTTATATGCTTCTAGGATAGAATTAGAAAAGCATTTGTTTTTAATCTTTTATGATTTGGAGATCTTTCTGAGTCATAGCTGTGAGTAACTCTGTGTTCTTTGTATCTGGCTTGTCTATAGTACCTTTGGGGAAGGGGATTAAGCTTTCTCTTGTGCCAAAGTCATTTCTGGAAGTTAATACTCATCAGGATAATCTTTTGAAGAAATTTTCTTTTAAGTGCCAAATACAATTTAGAGAACCTCACAGAATTGTGAAAGAAAGAAATTATCTTGCTAAAAGCCAACGGAATTTGGAAGTTTGAAAATATAAACAGCATTTCACTAATTGGCATTTCTCAAAACCAAACTGTGGTGTGGCTTTTTGCTTTGTGTTTATGCCTCTTTGGAGTCCACCCAGGTTTCTTTAATATAGGTATGGCTGACACTCTTTGGTCTGCCAAATTGATCTCCTCTGGCACTTTCTGAATGTGTGTTTGAGGGTTTCAAGTGGGACAACAGGAAAGCAACTTTGAATAAAACAATTTCAATGAGTCACATTGGGTTTTCAGTGAACATGTGCCTAATGCCATTGAACCTTCTCTAGTACTTCTTTTGTGGACATTTAGATGCTTTTGTAGTAGAATATTCCTGAACCAAGAAGAAACCAAATATGAGCCTCTCAACAATTTACTGTCAAAATATCTATTCATTTATAATCCAGTTACTGTCTAGTTAAACAAATGGGTTTTCTTTAAAAAAGAAAAAACAAAGAAAGCCCTGCAAAGGTGTATATTCTTTGTTAGTAGTAATCTTCTTACAAAATTGTGAGGGAAAAGGAAGTTTAATATGAAAGTCACTTTAATAATCATTAATGGTACTCTGAAAAGGAAACAAATAGCTAGGTTTCATGGACAGTCATAAGAAATAACTTCATTCTCCCCCTTACGTGAAACCCTGCAGTCTTCCCAGTGACAAGAACATCTTTGAAATGCTACACGGAATTAGCTGGCCTGGTAGATAATCAGTATCTGTAATATGGCATGTTCTTTAAGAACAGTTATCTTATTTATTCTGGATTCACCTTCTTATAAATTGAAATGTATTTATGGGTAATAGTGTGAAAGATGAGCTAGAGAATGTTCATTAAAATATTTTCTGTTTGGTTCATTTTTCGAAAGACATTCTTCAGCCTTTCTTAAAAGAACTTCTAATAACGTTGGAATAAACATTCTGAACTATAATTATATGAAAGAATTCTGAAGAAATTTGGAGAGATTGACTGATATTATGGCTTAATTGGAGCACTACTCTGATTGTAGTGAAGGCAGTCTACATTTCCTGTTAAATCAAATTGTGCTCAGCACTTGTGTACAGGGCTCAAAGACCTCTAAGGATGAAAGGGACCTGATAACTTCTCTCCAGAAAGAGACATCATCCTCTTTTTATGTCTTCACTCATGTTGGTAAAAATAAAATATTATATCTAATAATTAGTTAATTTTTTAAAAAACTTAAGACTGATGTTGAAAAAGTTTTGGCCATCTAGCAATGAACACGCCTCTAAGGATGAAAGGGACCTGATAACTTCTCTCCAGAAAGAGACATCATCCTCTTTTTATGTCTTCACTCATGTTGGTAAAAATAACATATTATATCTAATAATTATTTAATTTTTTAAAAAACTTAAGACTGATGTTGAAAAAGTTTTGGCCATCTAGCAATGAACACACACCAAGAAAAAATCTTGTAATAGAAGGGCTTTTTCTGGACTAAATATCTAATTATGAATCAGATCATTTTCCCATGCATATATGGTGGTGCACACTTTCCCCTCAATAAAGAGAGCCAGGGGTTTGCTTAACCGTCTTTCTTCTCTCACAGATCTTTACACCAGCAGCGTAATTAGCTACTGGTGTAAAGTTAGCCTTTCAACTTGATTTCTTGAAGTCTCCTGCCCAGGTTTTATTTATTCTCTACAGAGATTTTGTGAGTCTGGAGCCAAACTGTCCAATTCTAGGTTAATACTGGGAGTAAATCATTAACCATGAAGAATCTCAGTAACAGAAATGATGAGTAAATGCGTGATGTGGTGCTCGTCACTGCGAAGAGTCAGTGAGGCATAGAGTCCAACACCTGCCCTTAGGGAGCAAACATGCCAGTATGGAATTAAAACATATTCACACGAAAATAGAGCAGGAAGTCCCAGCCCCTATTGATGATAAAATGCAGGGAAATGGCATACACCAGGAGTGCTTCCTGCAGGCTTTCTAGGAAAGGAAAGAGACCTTGCAGACTGCATGTTCAGGAGTTTGGGGGCAAAGCTATGTCCTCAAACTGCAAAGTTACATAACCCTATAGGTTTTCTCATAAAAGAGATCCAAGGAGATGGTAAGCATAACATGTTCTAAAAAATATTTATATTTTAAAATTGTGGTAAAATATATATAACAAAATTTACCATTTTAACCATTTTTAAGTTTACAGTTCAGTGGCATTAAGAATATTCACGTTGTTTTGCAATCATCACCATCATTCATCACCAGAACTTTTTTCATCATGAAGAACTGAGTCTCCATACTATTGAACAGTATAGCTCTTCATTTTCTCCTCCCCATCTCCTGGAAACCACTATTCTACTTTCTGTCTCTATGAATTTAACTTACCCTAAGTACTTCATATGAGTGGGATCACACAGTTATTTATACTTTTGTTACTGTCTTATTTCACTTGGCATAATGTCCTCAAGGTTCATTCATATTGTAGCATGTGTCAGAATTTCATTCCTTTTTAAGGCTGAATAATATTCCATTGCATATACATACCACATTTTGTTTTGTATATCCATTGATAGACACTTGGTTTGCATCCACCTTTTGGCTATTGTGAGTGATGCTGCCATGAATGTGGGTGTACAAATATCTCTTAGAGATCCTGCTTCCAATTCTTTTGGGTATATACCCAGAAACGGAATTGCTGTGCCATATGGTAATTATGTTCTTAGTTTTTTGAGGAACCATCATACTGTTTTCCACAGTGTCTGCACCTTTTTACATTCCCATTGACAGTGCACAAGGGTTCCAGTCTCTCCATATCCTCACCAATGCTTGTTAATTTCTTTGTCTCTTTCTCTCTTTCATTCTTTAATTCTTTCTTTCTTTCTTAGTAGTTAATTCTAATAGGTGTGAGGTGGTATCTCATTTGTAGTTCTGATTTGCTTTTCCCTAGTGATAGAGATGTTGAGAATCTTTTCATGTGCTTATTGGCTATTTGTATTTCTTCTTCGGAGAAGTGTCTATTCAAGTCCTTTGCCTATTCTTTAACTGGGTTGTTTGTTTTTTGTTGTTGTTGAGTTTTAGTAGTTTTCTCTATATGTTCTGCACGTTAAACCTCTATCAGATATGTGATTCGCAAACATATTCTCCCATTTTGTGCTTTGCCTTTTTACTGTGCTGACATTGTTCTTTGATGCACAAAAGTTTTTAATTTTGATGAAGTTAAGTTTGTATTTTTTTTGTTGTTGTTGCCTGTGCCTTTAGTGTCATAGCTAAGAAATCATAGCCAAATCTAATGTTATAAAGCTTTTCCCCTATGTTTTCTTCTAAGAGCTTTATAGGTTTTAGCTCTTATGTTTAGGTCTTTGATCCATAATCGTTGTATGTAGTGCTAGGTAAAGATCCAACTTCATTCTTTCACATGTGAATATTCAGTTTTGCCAGCACCATTTGTTGGAAGACTGTCTTTCCCCATTGAATGGTCTTGGCAGCCTTGTTGGAAATCATATGACCATACATGTGAGGATTTGTTTCTGGGCTCTCTGTTCTATTCCGTTGATCTATATATCTGTCTTTATGTCAGTACCTCACTTTTTTGATTTCTATAGCTTAGTTGTAAGTTTTGAAGTCAGGAAGTGTGAGCCCTCTAACTTTGGTTCTTCTTTTGCAAAATAGTTTTGGCAATCTGGGGTACCCTGAGATTCCATATGAGTTTTAGGATAGATTTTTCTGTGTCTGCAAAAATGTCATTGAAATTTTCATAGGGATTGCATTTAATCTGTAGATTGCTTTGGGTAATATTGACATTTTAACAATATTAAGTATTCTAATCCATGAACATGGATATCTTTACAAACATTTGTCTTTAATTTTTTTAATCAATAGTTCTATAGTTTTCATTGTAGAAATCTTTTAAAAACTCCTTGGTTAATAACTGAGGTTTTGGGGGTTTTTTGTTTGTTTGTTTTTTGTTTTTTTTGATGCTATTGTAAATGGAATTGTTTTCTTAATTGGGGTTTTTTTTTGTTTGTTTGTTTTTTGTTTTTTTTGATGCTATTGTAAATGGAATTGTTTTCTTAATTTCTCTTTTGGATTGTTTATTGTTGTGTATTCAGTTGTGTATAGAAACACAACTGATTTTTGTGTGTTGATTTTTGTATTCTGCTACTTTGCTGAGTGGCATAGTTTTGAGGTGTTTTAATAACTCTCAGGATATTTTCCTTGTGGCAGATTGTTTCCAAGTTGAAGGATGAAATAATTCTAATAGAGAAAGAACGCACAGACCTTCAGCTGCACATGGCAAGAACAGACTGGTGGTGTGAGAACCTTGGTATGTGGAAAGCCTCCATCACCAATGGAGAGGTAGGTCTGATTGCTTTTCCTCCCAATTTATTTTAAAAGTTTGACTTTGTAAGACAAGATTTTGTCCTAGAGAATCAAGATTGAGGATAGAAAACTTACATTCATTCTTTTAGAGCACATTTGTCCTACCTTCCTTAAGCCATATTTTCACTCCAGTTTGCCTATGACTGGGAACTATACTAGGCTGCTTGGTATAGCTTTGCTGTCACTCCACTTCAGACAGAAAGTTATCCTTGTTCACTGGAATTGTAAGCAACTTTGATATAGGAACATTTAACGTCCTTGAATTACCAATAAATTTTTCCATTGAGGATTGAAATAAAATGGAAAGCACTTTTTGAAACTTGGAGATGAAAAATTAAAATTTAAGTGCATCTGATTGTTCCATGCTGCTGACTTCAATTGCTTAAATCTCAGAAGCTCTGAGATCTTTACTTGTGAATATTTTTCTTTGAATTATTCTGCTGTTCTTTGAGGGATATGGAATAACAGTTTGCAGGATATACTGTATCCCTTTTCATTTGTCTATAAAAATAATTTCATTTAGGAGGAAAGATTCTTATAGGCATTTACATTGTTATTGCTGACAACTCCTCCCTTCCCACCTGCCCTACCATCAGTCATGTGGAAACCTGGAGATAAAAGTCATGGCCACCATATTATATATGAATAACAACATCCTCAGCAAGATAGTGTTAATATTTTGCCTCATCCTTGTTTCAGATGGCTCGTCTTTGTTCCTCCCTGTCTTTCCCATCTACCCAGTGGCTTGACACTCTTACTAGGGAGGAGGGCTTAAAATTCACAACCTTAAATTCACCTCTAGACTAGATAGCAAAACAAAGCATGTTCTCTAAGAGCTACCCTAAAAAAAACAAACAGTACTTGACAGCTTAACCAAGTGCCCTCTGTATGTCTTTGGCACTTGCTGGTACTCCTGTTAAGCCAAGCTGCAGAGCAGTATACCTTTTTTGAGGGAAGGAAGAGAGCAGTGGATCAGGGAAGGTTGTGTTCAACCTTGGAATTGCATATAGAAACTCTTGGTAATTGCAGATGGAGGTATCATTTAGGTGGAAGTCTAGAAAGGTGATAGGGTCCCATGGTATGTATGTCAAAAGATAGAATAGGAGGCTTGTGGGAGAGAGAGAACACAAATTGTGCCACCCGTTTGGTTTTGCTTAGAGCTGCCTCTGGCATTTCATAGTGTATTAAAATTGTCTTCCAGGGCCGGCCCGGTGGTGCACTCGGTTGAGTGCGGCACTTGGGAGTGCGGCGGCGCTCCCGCTGAGGGTTCGGATCCCATATAGAGACCGGTCTGCTCACTGGTTGAGCGCGGTGCGGGCGTGACACCAAGGGTTGCGATCCCGTTGCCGGTCGCAGTACGGGCGCGACACCGAGGGTTGCGATCCTGTTACCGGTCATGAAAAAAGACAAAAAGGAAAAAAAAATTGTCTTCCAAAGGCAAATACTGAGGGAGAGAGAGAGTGGAAGCCCTCACAAGGCACTTTGCCCTGGTAGTCACTTCTTATTCAGGAGCTTGCAATGGTACTATGGTCACTGAAAAGGTAATAGAAATGGAAACAGAGGGGTCACCTGATTGCCAGAGCTCACAGACTAGTCCTACATAGGAATGCGTGGAAGATGTGTTTACATCAAGCCAGACTCTCCTTAGTTCTGATCCTGAGTGACCCGCTTACTAGATGTGTGGTCGTAGGAAAGTCAGTTACCCTGTCTGTGCCTCTACTTCCCCCATTCTTATGTGGGATAATAGTCCTACCTTACAGGGCTCAGCCGGTGCTCAATAAATCTTGCATCTCTTTCCGTTGCTTTTCTTACTGACTCTTTCTTTTTTTTTTTTCCTTTTTGTCTTTTTTCGTGTCCGGCAACGGATCGCAACCCTCAGTGTCGCGCCCGTACCGGACCAGGACCGGCAATGGGATCGCAACCTTCGGTGTTGCTCCCGCGTCTCGCTCAGCCAGTGAGCGGGAACCGGTCTGTATGTGGGATCC